AGTAAGCACTTCTCTGGAAAAAAAAAAAAAAGAATCACTGGAAAAAAAACCAAGAGAAGGTAGAATTTGAGGACCTTCCAGTGGGAATTCAATGATAAGTGTGATAACCTTGTTTTGTATTTGGAACTGAAGAGTAGATTTTCTGTTAGGCTTTCAGAAATTGCTCCTGCAATAATAGCTTTACTGCTGTTAAACCTCTCACATAATATGCAACACCTTTCTGACTCTTTATAAGGATTTCCAATATCTAGGAATGGTAGATAACAGTCAGGACTGCATTCTGACCTTCAGCTCTATGACTGACTAGGCCATTTTTTCACTGTCCTTGCGTCCTTGTGAAGCACTAAGCTTTTTCTCAGCTTTTGTTTTTCTTCTGATTGCTAACCAAGTAATAATTCAGTTAGCTGAATTTCTGGTCATAGAAACAGGAAATCTCAGCAAGTCATAAAGCCAGAAATCTAACCAGAGGGGATTTGAACTACTGTTTGAATTCTGTTTCATTTGTGTTAAACTATTTATTGACCATTATTATGTGCTGGAGCTCTTCATAATCCATTTGATAAATTCCTAATAATTATCATAAATACTGAAAGTACAGATTTGTTTGTTGTCACTGGCTCTTTTTTATTCAAAATAACTTTTCTCGAATCATTAGTAAAAGGTTGTTTCTGTTTTATGACACAGGACCTTGTAAGAATTAAGATACTGGGAGCTTCAACATAGGTTTTGATAAGCACTGTATCAAGAATATGCTGATGACAGTCTCAAATAATTTTCTAGTATAGTCTTTTAACACCTGTCATCTACTGAGACCATCTACCTTGGTCTGTCTTGTACTGTTGCTAAGGATTGCATTCCTATGTTTCAGTTGCTTCTGAAGTTTCTTCAGGAATTCCTTTTCCTCACAATTTTTGGTTTGCATTTGATAAGTTTTACCTCTTTCTACCAGCATCCAATGTCCACATTCTAAACATACTCAACATGTGCTCCTAATTCTGGAGAGACAAGTTATTGGCTAAGATATATTGTATTTCTTCTTTCGTGATGAAGTCTCTCCATTTAACATCCAATATCTTTCATAAGTGCATATATTTTAGAAGATGTCTTGTTTCAGTCTAATGTTTTAGTAGATCTCCACTTCTATCCAGCTGTTAACATTTGTAGGGTCAATAATATAGATTGGTCTTGGCACTTGGCCCTTTCAGATGTCCTCATACTGGTCTGTCAAGTTATGATGGTTTGGCTTGGATTGTTGTTGAGACTGCAAGAAACATCTGGAATTATACTGAAGTGAGCTTGAAGAGATGCAGCAGTATTAGATCACCTTGCAATTCTTGTACTGTATGCTTCTTTAAACACCATGGTAAGTGTATTGCATCAAGAATCTCTCATTCCATTTTAGTAACAGCATGGTGTGGTGTTCATCTATGGTTTTGTGTATTTTTTGAATTTTCTGTTGTCTGTGTCAGGAAACTGGTCTTGTTATCTGCTGAGAAATCTTAATTTCACATTTTTTACAGTTGGTTAAAAGATGATGTCTCTTATAGTATTTATTTTTTGTGTCCTTTCAATTCTTCTGTCTTTAGTTTCCGAGTTTCATTTTAAAAGCCTGCCAATCTCTGCTCCACGTGATGGTTATATGAAAGTATTCTTCCTTCTTGTGCTACTTTATACTTCTGTTATACCTCTGGATCTTGTGAAAATTATTCATTTTAGACCAGTACCTATTTCACAGCCACCTCTGTCCCAGTCAGCTACTTCATTGCCAGGGCAGCTGGATAACATCTGGTGGGCGTATGTACATTATTGAGGTTAAGATGACTGCAGCATCCCAGCTGAGCCAGGGACATTGTCACCACCTGGAAAAGCCCTTAGACCTTTGTCGTTTGTACAGTATGCAAAATGCCTTTTATTGTAGTGCAGTGTGTATTGATGCTAACATCCAGGAAAGCTAGCCTATTCCTTCTCTTCAGTTATGTATTGTTCTGTTTCCTGGGCTAATTTAACATCTGCTGGCAAGTATCTTCTGCAAAAGGTAGCAAAAGGCAGGAGATGGCATGGTTGTGTTAGAGTAGCAGGCAATTTTTAAAGGTTTTGTGTTTGGAATGGAGAAAAGGCCAACAGCTTACTACTAACCACATGATCAGAGTAGTTAAATGGACAGCCACATATTTAAAGCTGTGGCAGTAGATGTGGGGCTGTTTGTTCAGTGCTATCCCATCACAGAATTACACAGCTCGCTGTGGTTGCAGTCTGATAATTATTATTGATTCGCTCTCAGGCTGTCAATCTGGGTACAGCGCTAAAGCAGTCCATGATGGACAGAAAGAGGATTGGACAGCCACCATCCAACGAGGAAACTTCATCTTGAAAATGAACCTAGATGAGATGGTGCTAGTGGATAAGAGTAATTGATGATTGTTTCAGAGTGGAAGAAGGGAAAAAAGAGAGATAAAAAATTCCTCTTTGGCATTCATCCTTAGTGTCCTGTAACACTCCAGGGACTGTCTGCAAACTCTATAAAGTTTAAAGGTTTTATTTTCAGTGGTTAGCCAAATATGCTGCTCTCACTAGAAGTAGTATTTAGCTTAGGGTCACCAGGGTGCTTAAGAGAGACATAACAGCACCTCAGGAAACAGTACCTTTAGGGAAATAACTTTTCTCAACCCAGACCTATGATCTTGATCTATTTTTGGGTTATTAAACATAAGCAAATCTTAGTACTTTAGGGCTGGTTAAAATGTTTAATACTTGAGATGTAGCTGTTAGCACTGTGAATCATTATACTAAAGACTTGCACCTGCAGTAATGAGACAGTTATACATTGTATTTTGAAGCATACATACTTGTTATATATTTCTTTATAAATCTGATCTGTCAACTCATGAGAGAGTAAACAGTCACAATAGTAGTGCTGGACAGTGTAAGTTGGCCAGAGCCTCATTTTATGGTGTGGTTGGCATTTGTATTTTTAAAACACTATACAAAATATTTGAGATAGATCCAGAAATCTGTGCAGATGGAATAAAAACCTACCTACACATCTTGATCTAACTTTTTAGCTGAATTCTGCCCAAGATTTTATTTCAGCACCAATAATCTGTTGCAATTTCCTCTGCTCTTTTGTTAAGTTGAGCCATTGTGTTTCAGATGGGTTTATTTCTTGTTGGTAATCTTGCATATACAGGACATCTGGAACCCCAGATCTCCTATAAACCCCACAAACCACTGTGTGAATTCAAAAGTGCCAGCTGGAAGCAAGCACTATTGATGAGGCAGGGAGTACCTCCAAGCCTCTCCTGCAAAATAAACTTCAGGGCAGAGGGGAGCAGATGGGGGCCCTTCCCTCTTCAGAACCACCAGGTTTCTTCCAATAGAAGTACTGTGGAGGGAAACTAGGACAAATAGTGGGTTTTTCCAGCTTTGATGTCTTCAGCAGGCAAGGCGTGCACAAATCTCGTGGCAAGACAGCAAGGAGGTCACTTGCCACCTGAGGGTGGCAAGTTTGGGGTAAACACTGCTGGCTTTCTTGTAGGAGTGACTTCTCATTTGCTCTTCATGTTTGTTACCTTTCAACTAGCAGCTACTGCATTAATGTAAGTATTTTTCCTGGTATTTCTTTGTCATTTGACTGCTATAATATTAAACTTCAGTTGTGACTGACACGGACCGTGTATTTCGGAGAATTCACTCAGATTTTCATAGAAGACTTCATAAGTACTTATCTAAAGTACCTAAGTTATGAGGCCAGTCTCTCAAGATTTTTACAGATGAAGAGATGGGCTCCTGCAGAGGACAAGTCTGAGCAAGTGTCTAATTTATATGACCTGGCTCAATTCCTTGAAGAGCTTTTCTGTCCTCTCAGTATGATCAGAGATTGCCAGTAAAAGCAGAGATCTTAAGGTAGCTCATATGAACAGCAAAAGCAACCCTTCCTTTCTGATGCTTGTCATTGTTTCCAACCAGTGATGATATCCTCTGCAGAACAGTACAGAAGAATGAAATGCAATCAAGAGTGTGCATTCCCCTTCCTGCCCCATCCAGTAGACATGAGCAAGGGTACATCCACTCTTACTGGTGTTGTAAGAGAAAAAAAGGATTACATCCAGGGCCATAAGAGCTGCCTAAGGGACTGCCAGTCAGCAGAATGGAAGGTGTAAGCCTGGTGAGAAGGATTTATAATCTTCATTGTAGGCAGACAAGAAGGTTTATAGTCTGGGATGTAGCTAGGAAATGGCTCATCCTGCTTTCCTTTTATATTCTTTCTTTTTAGGTGAATTTTCAGATACAGTAAAGTTGTATTAAACTTTTAATTCATGTACCTCATCTGCAGAACCAGAATATTTCAAACCTCATAAACATTTGCTGTCAGTCTGGGACTAATTGTACCAGCCATCAACCAAATTTATCCTCAAATTCTGTGATAGAAAAGATAGAGCTTTTAGAATTAAAGTGTCTGGATTTATGTGGGAAAAAATGAGGACTGTGATGGAAAAACGTCATTATTTCATTTGTGGCTCTTCAACATTTCCAGCTTTACTTTGATTGCCTGAAGATTTATAAACAGCAGATGATAAAGCCAGATCTTCTGTGGCCAGTTTTTTGGGGTATCTCAAAAGATTCTAATACTTAACTTGGCTCCACTATCCCCTACTGTCCACAGTGCAGATTCGTGTTTGGATTATTCCTGTCCTTCTGTTTCATACTTTCCACAGAGGAGCACTGTGCAAAGGTTCTCCTCTATCTTACCCATTTGAATGCTGTCCCTACAAAGGCTGAGGATGAGGCCCACAAAGATTTTCCTGTATGCATCCACAGAGAGTCACGTAATGTTTGCGCTGGCACAGCACCTTGGTTCCTGACAGATCTGCTACAGCTTCACCAGTCACCAAAGCAACAGTTTCAGCCTTCAGCAACAGGAAGGGCCTGAGCAGAGTGCGACAAGAGCCCTGATGTTACAGAGGATGCAGTAATGCCATAGCCCCATATGCCACCATGATCCCTGTCTGCAAAATGCACTTGCCTCTTCTAAAAGGGATTACCAAAATGTCATACTGGAGTGATCAAATCAAACCAAACTTCCCAAAGCTTTATTCCTTTAAAGGGGTTATAATCAGCATGTATTTTAGGTGACATGTGGGAATAGTGCTGGTGTATTTGGACCTTCTATTTTGTTGGCCCTAAGTGGTGCGGTTTTACTTCCCTGCCTGCTAGTTAAAGGCAGAGATAGACGCAGTGTTAGGCAAGAATGTCAGACTAGACACAAGGAAACACAACTGGGTGTGTGCAGCGGACCATGCACTCCATGATCAGAGAGGCTGTCCAAACTTTGATGCCCTGTTTACAGCGTGTTTTAGCATGGGTCAGGTGGTATTTTGAACTCTACCAGGCTGCCCAATAGTGTGTGCTTATACAACTGCTTGTATTTCATGGCCTTGATGCCCTCCCTGTGTATCTTAGAAGTCCCCCATTTTCTCATACTTGCTACTTTCACGGTCACAACAAGGTCTGTCTAATTCTCCGTCCTTTCCCAGAAATTGTGAATTGAATAAGGCTGTGCAAGTTGAAGAATTGTTTCTCTGATAAGATTGTGGTTTTTCACTGCTGATATTAATTTGTATCTTTATATTAACTAGGTTTCTTGGCTATCCCTATTTGCGGCAACAATAACTGCTAGGCCTGGTCCTGGGCCAAGCTGCATAAATGCCAGGAGAAAGCAGTCAGCTGCCCACAGACTATTTGTGTAGCACTCAGAAATGGCTTAAATATCACTTCAGGTACTGCAGCCTTGGAAGCCTTGGTTTCAATAGCTTGTCTTATAACTGGGTTGCTTTGTGACACAGCTTATTGGTTTGCAGTCCCCTGTCCCAGCCAGGCTGCAAACCAAGGAACTGAGCTATCCCTGGGGCCCAGAGAAATGCAGTTCATCCCATATTTTGTCTGCTTGGCAGCAGAAAGAATCTGTGCCTGTGTAGATGCTCACTCTTAGGAAATATCATCCCATCCTGGGAGTTTGTCAGCTTGGCTTTGCCCAAGTCTCTCAAATCCCTCCCAAACTGTGGGCCTCTGGGGCCACGTGAGGATTATGTGCTGTGAGGATCAGGGGCAGGAAGGTGGAGCAACACATTTTACTCTCCTGCATAGGTTTATAGGGCATATAATTGTGCCTTGCCTTCAGGGGCTATTTTCTGAAGTTACAAGCTGTGACTTGAGGACTTCAGCAGGAGCTAATCCCATGTCCTGATAAATGCCTCCAAAGGCAGCGTAGAGGAGCAGAGGTGAAGGCATGGCAATAGTGGTGATGGCTGTACTCCAGGTGCTGTGCCAGAGGAATAATTGATTGTATCAGGCAAATGATGGGAGATTGCTGTGCTTTGACAGGGAAGCCTGTGTCCCTATGACTCATAACCAGTGGAAAAAGAAAATGGTGGGTACTCACTGAAATGAGTAATACAAGAAAGAGACTGTTCCATCAGTTCCTCTGAAGAGCACCAGTGATTAATGGGTGTCAGCAGCATATTTTCTCCTAGCACAAAGAATGCCTGTGTGCTCTTTGCTGTGAGAGGCACAGGATTACAAACTGGTGTGTGGGGTGCATTTTCTGGAAGCTAGAAGCCTGCAATTGCTGGGAAGAAAGCTTCAGCTGAAAATATTGAATTTCTTTAGATCCCTAAGCAGACCTGCAGGTATCATAATTGATCACAGAACATTGTAGGCTGGTCTGAGATGTGCAGAGATGAAGCAGAAAAAGGCGTCATTCCGCAGCTGCCTCATTCTGCCTCTTTCTCCATCACACTGTCATGTCTGCTGCCCTGGGTTTTTCAAGCATCTCCCATACCTCTGACTATTGTGTGACAGCTATTGCCAGATGACAGCTGTCACTAGAGGCTTGCCTCTATAACTGTGTGTATATGCATTTTGTTAATCCTGTCATGCTTTAAATGAGTCTTTGAGACTGTGACACCACTATTTTTCTCTTACAGTACTGATACAGTATTCTGTGCACTCATTAGGAAGTAGGAATGTTTTAGGAATTAGGAACCTTTTTGCCTAAGGCTCAGTGGTCTTACAGTAATATTCTGTACTATTGTAATTTAATAGGTTTCAACAGTTTTCTAAGCAGCAGCATTGCTGCCCTCCTAGTAACAGGGTAATAATCTGAAATAAGACTCCCATGCCACTGTAGGTATAGAAACCACTGTGATATTTATTTCATACATGTTGCAAGTCTGAGTAGTCAGATCTTCCACAGAAGCACCGTCTCCTGATTTCTGATCCAAGTTGGGGTGGATACTAGCCTCATGAAAGAGGAGCACAATAATCCTATAAATGGTTGGGACACACTTGTACATCATTTGAATGAGACTGTGTCAGTCAGCAGGTAAGCAGGTTTGTAATAGAAAAGAAGCTGGTTTGCAGGAGCTACCCTGCAGTCCCACCGCTTGGAGCAGGTGTTACGATAAGATAATGGTCTCTTGTAGTAACCCTTGTGAATCACAATCCTTGAGGAAAAAGTAGGGACAAGCCCTTCAAATTGGGTTTCAAAAGCATATAAAGAATTGACCTTACAGAGGTAGTTCAAGGAATAACCTAATCTTTCTGTCCCATATCCCCCCATGTACAAAAGCTTGCCTGAAATTGAAAGGAGGGAGGGGGAAGCTTGTAAAGGCGATGTTGATACCAAATAAAGAGACTGGTGTCCCCACAAAATCATTTTACAGCCTCTCTCTGCAATCTGGAGAGGATTAGAGGTTTGCAGCATGTTTATGTCTGGCTGAGACCAAGGAGGGTTTGCTGCAAAATGGTTATCAGTGTAGAATCAAGGCATAAACAACAACACCAAAGTAGAAAGCCTAATGATTCGAATGAATCGAGTGGAAGAAATGTGTCTTACAGACAATGTTGCTTGAAGAAAATATATTTTCTGCTGTAGGATTTTTTCCGTTATTAAATGATAGTAAACTCATGTACACTCACAGCCTTGCCTTCTGCAAAACTAACATAAGTGTAACAATTAAAGATTGAAGTATGGACTTCTGAGATGATCCCTTATGACCCACACTTTATTAGATTTATGTTACCTTTTGATATGTTCTATTTGCTGGAAGCCCCAGCATCCTATCATTATGATTCAAACAGGCTTTGCTCTCTGCTCACAAATAATTGATGCTCCCTTTGCACAAAGCATAGTTTTTAGCTGATAAGCAGCAGGGTAATTGGCACCTTCACAGGATATTAGGTAGAAAAAAAGCATCACACTTAGCAGACAGGAAGCAGACAGGAGAAAGTAACCAAATAACTGTGGTATTTGGTGTAAGCGAGGCTAAATACTACTTGACAAGTTCTATATGTTTGTACTTCCTGTAGTGAATATTAAGATTTCTGTTTATCAGCAGAGATGGGGTGTGGGGAGTCTTTGTGACATGAACATTTGTAAGAGAGGTGCACCATTAGCAGTACCTGTATTGAATATGGTGTATTCATTTAAAGCCACTGTGCAGTTTAAAACACATCTACCCAAAGCATCTCTGTGGTCCTGTGTTAGCTAGTGGGTGTGACATAATTAACAGGACTGTCACATCAGGTAGGTGGCTACGGATAATGCTGGGTTGCAGTGGATTCCTGTGTGTGTTACACATTGTGCCTATGGGCTTGTAGCCTTGGGGAAAAAAAAAAAAAAAGAAAGTGTATTTGTGGGAGCCAAGAAATGCTTTCAGGTCTAAAATCATACTCCATGCAATGCAGATAGAAAGCTTCTTGGCTGCAGTCACTGGCAGTGTCACTGTCTCTCTCGAAATATTTTTAGTTGGACTGTGCTATGCTATTCTGGTACGACTTTTGTGGTGTCCAGCAGCTAATAGCTATACATTTATTTTGAAATTACCCTTTCAGGTTCAGCCATGTACCTGTTAAGACTAAAACCGTTGAACAAATGAGTCATATCAAAAGTGCAATCTCATCAAATTTAGCTTCTTAAGTTTACGGTGGTATTTTTAACAAGTGTGGCATTTCTCACCGGTAATTGCTTTTTCTTTATTTTCTTCGTACAGATTATGGACTTCATAGTAAATGTATGGGTGCATCTTTAATCTTGCGTGTCACTTGGGTACTACTGAGTGCACTGGAAATGTGTATAAATAGAAAGGTTAAAAATAAGTGTAACTATGTAGTGCCATGCACTATTTCTAGCAAAAGCATTTCTGTTTAGTAATATCCACTTTAATTAGCTGCTACTTACACCTTCCTTATGTGCTGTGTAAGTGTATGAGGGGAGGAGAATGTTATATTAACAGAATAATTTGGTGATGAGCTAGATTCTATTTTCCAGACATTGGCGAATTCTTATCGTTTAATATTTATTAAAATATCCCTTTGAATGTATAAGAGTACCAGTATACATGTATGAGGTTTAATTATTACTATAGGCTTATAAACGCTGTGGCGGTGTATTTTATTAGATAAAAATAAAAAGTGCCAGTGGAAATAAGACCTATCACATTATACAACAGCTCATTCCCAAGACAAGCACTTGTGTCTGTCCTGGTGATGGTGTTGCTGTATTTGTTTTCCAATTACATCTTGAGTGAACTCAATAGAGCACAAGGCATGATGGGAGAAGTTGTCTTTCACTACAACTACTGTTTATGGTCTGCCCAGAAACAGGTGAAGAAACATTCTTACCTACCCTCCTTACTCGATTTCTGAGTATGTTCCTTAGTACTTGCACCAAAATATGAACCTGCAGCAAAAAGGAGCCATCTAGCAGAGCTCTTTCAGGTTCAGTCCTGTTGCTCACTGGCACGCACAACAATTACACCGGAGAAGGGGATTGATTTCTCTAACCAATTATGCTTAAACATGCTAAGCTTGTTATCGAGCTACATTGTTGTTATGTAGAACACTGTGCTTATGTGGTACAGCTCTTTCCACCAATACTAATTATGAAATGAGTTCTTACTGTCTTCACAACACACAGATGGTGACAGTCTAGGTCTGAGTAACACACACGGGGGGGCAGCATGTAATAACTCTTCGTATCGCATATAGTTTGGGTGATTTTGGCTGCATGTATCTTGCTGTAGTGCTTGTCAAACAGAATTAGTATTTTAAAAGCTCATAAATCTGTTAT